TACATGTTTCATGTGTTGTGAGATGTGTGTCGTAGATTATCATGTGAAATTATTGAACAAAATATTAATATTTATTATATTTGTATAAAATACTTGGTAAATGAATATATAACATATTTTGTATTATAACTTTGATATTTAATTACAAGATAGTGTAAAAAGAAGACAATGAACAATGTAGTGAATATAGTTAATTAATTAATTTAAAGGTAAGAAATCTTTGAATTGTAGAAAATAAAAATAATATAACTAATGAAATTATATCTCTTTTTAAACTTTTTTATAATGGATAATTTTTTTTTTTTTTTGAATAAAGGCATTTTAGACATCTACTTCTAAATTAATTAAATGCATATGCATTATTTTTTGTTGTAACTACTAATTTATTTAATCTAATCTAATAAGAGTAATAAAATGAGGTACTTACTTTTTCATCCACAACAATGAAGTCATTGATTTTTTTTTTCATTTGTTGTTGAAACAAATTGTTTTGGGAGTTTGTCAATGACAATTGCTACAATTGTTGTCAATAAAGGATGATAATAAATAATTTGAAATATATGGTTACAATAGATATTGTTATAATGATATAGTAAAAATTAACTTGCAAATTTATTTAGAAGTTTCATGCATTGATAAAATTCTTAGAATGATGTGTAAACTTAGCTTGTTCAATTGGAGCTAGTGGGATGTCAACATTGTCAATTCTTTGGAATATGGTCCTACCGTTTTAGAGTCCAGGTGTAGTTATATTTATGATCAACAACTTTGTAGTTAGGTCATGCAAGTCTGATAATGATGTAAGAACAATTTTGTTCGATAAAAAAAAATAATAGTACTATATTTGTAAATTAATTTACAATTATACCATTATAAAAATACATACAAAAAATATTACTACCATAATGACCTAAATCATTTCAATAATGCAAAAGCATAATTGAAATATTAAGTATTGTTCTAAATATAATCAAAAGAATATTATTTAAACGAAAAAAAAAAAAATTTAACCTAAATTTGTTTTCTAAAAAAATGTAAGACAATGGTTTTCAAGGTTCCTGATTTATAATCTTTGGTGTTCAATTTTGAATTCAATGAATTTAGTAGGGCTAATTATTTGACCAAAATTTATGTTAAATTTCATATTGTATTTTTTAAATACATTTTAACATATTCGTAGTATATGTTTAACAATTATGTCAATTCTAATTGGTGTGGGAATCGAACCTAGGACCTTTCTTATAGAAATTAATAAGTAAGTTAAGAATAATAAATAGTTAACAGAATATTCCGTTACTAAAGTTTATACTAACGGAATGCATGGTTATTTAAGGGAAGAAAATAATATAATAGATGGTAAATAAGAAAAATCATAAAGAAATACTAAAATCAAAATAATGTAAACCATTCATTCCAACCAACAATTACACCCAACATTTTTTGTTCCCGTTAAGGGCATAACTTTATTGGCTCTTATTAGATTTGTATTTGTATATAAGTTGTATTTGTATTTGTATATTGTATGTAGATGGAAAATTAAATAGGGAGAGTAATAAATTTTTTCATTTAAGTAATATGAGATACATAGTAGGATTAAATGTTATGCAATAGTCAATATTTTGATAATCTAATATTAAAAATATAACATAATTAATAATTAAGAAATATTTTTAAAAAAGAATTGGATTTGTTTTGATAAAACAGTCTATTTCATGACTAATTGGCTCCATTCACCTTCTTTTTTATTCATTTCTCCTCCCTGAAGCACCACTTTTTCACTATATAATTATTATCCGGAATCCATAGCGCTTACTCATGCGGAGTTCTGGGTTCAAATACATGCGTTGCCAGCGGGGTTCAGATCGGAGGCAGTGGTGACAGCGATCGGTTCCTTTTTAGGATCTTTCATAAAGACGGACGAAAAGAACTTTGATGGCACCGTGAGGACTTTCTACCAGGTGCGGGTCGCAATTGATGTTGCAAAGCCAATCAAGAAACATATGAAGCTAAAGAATGACAATGGTGACTGGGTTTTCATTGATTTTAAATATGAGCGCATGCCGACCATCTGTTTTCTGTGCGGCGTGATAGGGCATGGGGAGAAATTTTGTCGTCAATTTTTAATCACGCCAGAGGATGTGGAGAAGCCATATGGTTCGTAGCTACGTGCGGGTAACAGGAGGGGGGTACCAGGTAATGGCAAGCCGTGGATCTCACCAGAGTCAACGGCAGAACAGCTCAAATGGAAGGCGGTTGTTATGGACTCAATTGTCGTCCCTAGCAGTTCGAAAGGGGCTGAGGGTGATGAGAGTGTTTTACCAGAGGTATCAGTTGCAGGGCAGAAGAGGTGACGAGTTGAGGAAGGGATACTCAGGGGATGGATTGTGAGTCTGCAGGGTCAAAAAACGAGGAGGAGGCGGGACTTGCGGAGCAAGCTTGCCGAGGATTATGAGTATCCTATCATGGAATTGCCGCGGGCTCGGCAACCCGATGGCAGTTCGCGTCTTGACGGACCTTGTCCGTGATAAAAGGCCGAATATTTTATTTTTGATCGAGACGTTCTTAATGAAACAGAAAATGGAAACTATACGAATAAAGCTGGGATTTGCTAACTTACTGGTTGTGGATGCAGTTAGGCATAAGGGGGGACTTACGCTGCTTTGGGACGCTGCGGTAGAGGTAGAGGTCACAGGATACTCCGCTAATCACATAGACACCAATGTGACTTTAGATGCGGGTGGCTCGCAGTTTAGGCTGACGGGTTTTTTTGGGAACCCGGAGAGGCACAGGCGACAGGAGTCTTGGAATCTTCTGCGTACGTTGGCTAGCCTAAGCAACTTGTCGTGGGTTGTTTTAGGCGACTTCAATGACTTGTTGGCCCAGTGTGAGAAATGGGGACGGGTGTCGCATCCGGAATAGCTTTTATTAGGGTTTCAACAAGCGGTGGCGGACTGTGGTTTGACTGACTTTGCCTTTTCTGGGTATCGGTTCACTTGGTCGCGAGCGAGGGGGCACCACACATGGTAGAAGAGAAGCTGTACAGGATTTTAGTTTCAGACTCCTAGTTGGAGCTCTTTGAAGGTGCATCAGCAACATCATTAACATGACTTCACAGTGATTACTTACCAATCATGCTAAGATCTGTCGCGGTAATACATGTTCCTAGGCGCAGGAGGTTTTGTTTCGATAACATGTGGCTACGGGAAGAGGTGTTCCGGGAGGTGGTAGAACAGAGCTGGAGTCGATCCGTTGGGCGTGATGTCTTTTAGAGGATTGAATTGTGTAGCAAGGATATATGGCACTGGGGACGCACGTACAATAAAGAGTTCTAGTTCCGTATTGACCGTGGTAAGAGGAGGTTGGAGGTTCTACGGCCGCAAGGTGACCTGACATCATGTGCCGAGTATGATAGGGTTGAGAGGGAGGTGCTTACTCTCCTGGAGCAGCAACACATTTACTGGCGGCAGTGTGCAAAAGAACATTGGTGGAAGGATGGGGATATGAACACTAAGTTTTTCCACAACTCAGTAAAGGCCAGGCGGAGCGGAACCGAGTAACAAAGTTGAAGAATGAAGATGGAGCATGGGTCGAAGGGGAGGATGAAATTAGGAGTGTAATGGTCGGTTACTACAACGACCTGTTCACGTCGCATGTTGGGGATGATAATGAGGTGGTTGCGTGTGTGGGTTCTCATGTCATCGCGGCTGATAACGAACATTTGGAGAGACCGATGAGTGCGGAGGAGGTTCGAAGAGCGATTTTTGCCATGCATCCTGACAAGTCACCGGGGCCGGATGGCTTTGGTGCTGGATTCTATCAACACTTTTGGCCTACTGTTGGAGGGGAGGTAACTCTATTTTGTCGGCAGTTTATAGAAACTGCGAAGCTCCCTAGTAGGGCTAATGACACCTTAATTGTGTTAATCCCAAAGAAGCCAGTACCTAAGACAATGAAGGATCGAAGGCCGATCGCGCTGTGCAACATGCTCTACAAAATAGCCACGAAAGTGTGTGCGAATAGATTGAAAGGCCTCCTGGACAAAGTTATATCAAAGTCGCAAAGTGCTTTTGTGCCGGGCCGGCTAATAACTGATAACATCATGCTCGCGTTTGAGGCACACCACTCCTTAAACGGAAGACACAAGGGCGGGGTGGAGTGGCGACCCTGAAGATTGATATGAGTAAGGCTTATGACAGGGTCAAGTGGCGTTTCTTGAGGTCTGTTATGTTGAAAATGGGTTTCAGCGAGAAGTGGGTAAGTATCCTCCTGGAAATAGTTAGTTGTGCTAACTATCATATATTGCATGAACAGAGACATCTCATGCCAATCATTCCCGGGCGGGGTCTGAGACAAGGTGACCCACTGTCGCCGTATTTGTTTTTAATGGTGGCTGAAGGTTTGAGTGCCCTAATTGACAATCGGATGAGTATGGGTCTTCTGCACGGGATACACGTTGCACGTGAGGCCTCCCCAATTACACATCTCCTGTTTGCGGACGACTGTTTTCTCTTTTTACATGCGAACACGGATGAGAGTCATGAGATGAGGCACGTGCTAGACTTGTATGCGGAGGCTACTGGCCAGTTAATAAACAATGATAAATCCGCCGTGTGCTTCAGCTCCAACGTGAACATGCAGACGAGAGCCCAGGTGATGAATATTCTGGGGGTTAAACAAGGGGACACGGCGGCGAGATATCTGGGATTACCTTCCTTGGTAGGGCGTAATAAGAAATCTATTCTGGGGTTTTTGAAGGACAGAATTCTAAACCGGGTAAGAAGTTGGAACTCTAGGTTCTTGTCGCGGGCCGGTTGCGAGGTTATGTTAAAATCTGTCTTGCAGGTGCTACCTTGTTACGCTATGATGGTTTTCATGCTCCCGGTCAGCTTGTGTAGGGAGATAGAGGTCATCCTAAACCGTTACTAGTGGACGGGGTCTATTAATGACTCTTCAGGCCTGCGCTGGAAGTCATGGGGGGGGGGGGCCTGAGCAAACCGAAAATGAAAGGAGGCCTGGGATTTAGAGATTTGAGAAGTATGAATCTTGCTTTGCTGGGTAAGCAAGCATGGAGACTCTTGACACGCCCGGAATCGTTTGTAGCGCAGGTTTATAAGTGTCGGTATTACCCTAATAGTTCTATTTTTGACGCAGAACTTGGGAACAACCCATCATATATATGGCGTGGTCTTTTGGAAGCTAAGCAGATAATCCGCCAATGGGCTAGGCGAAGTATCGGGGATGGCAGGACAACCACTATTGGGTGCGATCCATGGCTTGTGACGGAGATGGACCCATATGTTACCACTGATTTGCATTTGTCCATCAGAGAGGCCCCCGTCAGTTCTTTGCTCAGGGAAGATGGGGTTAGTTGGGATGTGGCGTGTGTCAATGATGTTTTCGACGAACGAGATGCAAACTATATACTAAACATCTCGGTAAGTATTTGCAAACCTGCTGATTCATGGGTATGGTTTGGGGATTCGAAGGGAAGATACACGGTCAAGTCGTGTTACCGGCTCATTACTGGGGAGTCCAATGATGATAGGCCATGGAATCTGATAGGGAGCTTACAGGTACCCCCCGAAGGTGAGGCTATTCTGTTAGCAACTGGCTCACTACATTCTACCTACGAGGGATGCCCTAGTAGCGAAACGAGTTGCATGCCACCTTGCTTGCCATATGTGTGAGGGAGAAGATGAGAGTACAGAACATCTGTTTCATGACTGCTTGCATGCTGCGAATCTGTGGAGTACAATTAACCTGCCTCCTCTGCTGCTGCAACAAGGTAATGTGATAGATTGGTTTTTCCAGCGCTTGAGGAGCTTAAGTGGTGACTTACAGTGCCTGTTTGTGATGTTGTGTTGGGGACTATGGGGGAGTAGGAATGATAGTGTATGGAGGGGAATGCCATTTGATCAAGAGTCAGTGCTGCGCTCATCGGTGTCTTTTTTGCACAACTGGAGGGCAGTGAACGAGCAGGCAAGTGGTGTAGTGCATGCGAGTCTGGAATCTTGGAAGCCGCCGACTGTGGGGAGACTCAAGCTGAACACAGACGCGACCATCAGTGTGGAGAATAATGCTATGGGGCTCGGATGGGTTCTACGGGACCAAGATGGTCGTTTCATGGCTGCACGGAGTATGCGAGTTCCAGGGAGGTATATGGTGGTGGAGGCAGAGGTGCTTTGTTTACGTGAGGCACTGGTTTGGTTATGTGGAACGGGAATGGGCAACGTGGACAGCGAAACAGATTCCCATATTTGTTTTCATGCTTTAAATTCTGATTCTTTTACTTCTGCATTTGGTTTTTTGATTGATGATGTTAAGCATATAGCCTCTACGATTGATGGGGTTAGCTTTGAGTGTGTTAGGCGATCTGCGAATCGTGCGGCCCATGCAGTAGCTAGGGAAGCCGTTTCTGTGTCAGGTCCAAGGGAATGGTTTGATATGCCACCTCTATATCTTGTTGCGATTCTTAACGATGATTTAATGAATTAAGTACTTTTCTTTAAAAAAAAAAAAAAGTGTGTTAAGAACTCTAATATATTAACCTTAATAGAGCGTTGGGTTGGAGGGAATTTAAATTTCATTCCCACATAATTCCAAAAGTCACTAAATTCCTTAGTTTAGTTCGAATGAATGGAATTGCAATTCTATCATTTTCATGGAATTAAAATCTCATGACTCCCCCTCCCCCGAGATTTTAATTCCATGGATTTTAGGAAGAAAAAATAAAAAGGTAATCATGAGACAAAATTACCCCTCCCTTTTTGTAACTTAAAATCGATACCCATAACAACAATAGACATTTTAGACTTTATACTACTTATTTCCTTTCAATCCCCATGTATACCACACATTGGAATTGAAATTCCCAGTAATTATATTCATTTAAACCAAACACTGGAATTTAAATTCTCATTTTATTCTCAGTAATTTATCTCTTATATTTCCCACGTAATTTCCTCTCTCCAACCAAAAGCTCCGTAAACAGTGTGTGTAATTAACTCTTATTCATGTCATTATGTGTCAATCCATTAACAAATTTGTTTACATGACTTGTCGAATCTGATTAACTCTAATAACTAGGTCTTCTAAGTATATATCATAAAGTATATATCATAACTTAGGTTAGCATATACATAACTTTTCATCTTTATATAATAACTAGTATTTTATATGCGCGATGCGCAAAAAATATATGCCCAATATTAAAATTAAATATTAAAATCTTAGTTATATTATTTTTTTAAAAATAATAGTGTGTGTGTGTGTGTGTGTGTGTGTGTGTATATATATAATTGTATAATTCATATTAATATTTTTGAGGTAAAAATTATAGAATGATAAATTACTATATATAACTATGGTAACATTTTAATTAAAACCTAAATGAATTAAAACTTACCATTGAAGGATGTAAGAAAAAATTATTGTGTATGCATGCACATAGTAATAATAGTGTGGAAAGATAACAGAAGTTATAACGGCAGTGATATTTTTGTCCAAAAAATTATGTAGTACAACTTTTATAGCATAAGGTACAAAAAAATTTAACAGAAAAAAGGGACAAAAATCAGGGATATAACCTGGATTGGAACTTATTATGTTTTTAGACTAGTATTTGTCTCGTGCGATGCACGGATAAAAGTTTATAAGTATTGTTATAATGTTATGATATTAAGCAAAATTAATTTTATTAAAAATGTTAGTATAACTATACAATGTAATATTTAATATTTTTAATTTTTTTTTTGAAAATCATATTTTAAAATATTTAATTATGTTATTATTATGTTGATTTTAAAGTATATTGTTACTTGTATTATTATTTGAATTTGAAATTGAAATAACTAATAACTAATTTAATTATATAGCTAACGTATAGTATTTAAGAAAACGCAATATTTGTTTAAAACTTCCATAAAAAATGTATTCATTTGAAAAAGATTATTTATGTAAGAATTATGTTGATTTTGTATCGAATTTCTCATTTTTATATATGTAGAGTCAAATTAATTATAATTATAACAGAGTTAGTAGTACTCAAAAAAATTATAATTAAGATTTAAATGAATATATACACAAACTATATTAAATATAAAATTTTATTAAAATTTGAATAAAAAAGAATTATAAATTATTTAAAAAAAATTGATAAACAACGTTAGTAATTAAAATACAAATCCTATTTAAGTCGCTACAAATTAATATATTGAGACTGTTCGAATTACTAAATCAATATATATATATATATATATATATATATATATATATATATATATATATATATATATATATATATATCTTCCAATTCAAATGAATACATTTTTTTAGGTTTTATAAGTATTGTTATAAAAAAAAAAATTCTTGTATATAAAATAACTCAAACATTTGGGAAGAGGAGTGCTAAGACAACGTCAATAAACAATTTAAATCACTCGAAAAACTCTGGACCGCATTGGATTAAAATTCACCGGTAACTGACTCTCTTCTCGGACACCTCTGCTTCTTCATTGGTTTGCCTCAATATCGGTGAGTTCCCTCGTTCATTCATCTCTTTCACTGTTGTAGTCCAACCGTTCCAGCGCCGATCTTTTACTATTTGAGTAAAAATAACAACAGTTTTGAAAATATTGTCTTCGTTCTCTTTGTGTAATTTGTACATTCAATGCAGCACGTGGTACAATTTTGAAGCAGTAATCACACTTTGACTGGACAATATTGAGTTTTACCTTTTAGGTTTCACCAAATAAGAGGATTAGTGGATTTGCCTTATAGGTTTCACACTTTCCTTGAACACACAAATAATTATTTACCAATAATAGATGCAAATCAAATTATTAGTCTTATAATTTGACTAATTTTTTACGCGCATTGCGCGATTGGGATAATGCCCAATATTTTTTTTTTTTAAATAAGTACTTTAAAGTATATCAAGGCAAGATTATATTGGAATTGTTCATGCATAGATAATTGAATGTTAAATTTGTGTATTTAAATAGGCAATTCTAAGTTTACAAATGCAAGATAATATAGTCAAGATTGATTATAATTGTCAATGAAATAATTCTATAGGTATGGTTGAAACCAAATACGGGGCATAAGGAGAGAAAATAAAAATTAGTGTATAAAATATTAAATATATACTAATATTGAAGAACTAACTCCTGATTGCCAAACAAGGACATTGCGAGATAGTTTCCACTTCTATTTGTTGTGTGATTTGAATACTCTTTTTGTCAATAAATCTCCAAAGTAGTTAATATGATTGGTTTAATTATATTTTTTTATATTTTTATTTTTTTAAAACAATTATTATTATTATTATTATTATATATATATTTTAATTTTTTCATCGTATTAATAAAATACTTGGTAAATAAATAAATAGCACTATTTTGTATTATAACTTTGATATTTAATTAAAAAATAGTGCACAAAAAAAGATAATAGACAATGTAGTCAATATAATCAATTGATGGATTTGTACATTGGAGAAATATAAAAACAATATAACTAATAAAATTATTTCTCTTAACTAATTTATTGATAATGAATACATTTTTTTTAATAAAGACATTATAGGGACAATGTAGCGAATATAATCAATTGATGAATTTGAATGTAAAGAAATTTTATATTAGAGAAAAATAAATACAATATAACTAACGAAATTATTTTTCTTATTTAATTTATTGATAATGAATAATTTTTTTGAATAAAGACATTGTAGACACATAATTCTAAATTAAAGAAATGCATATGTATTATTTTTTGTTGTAGCTACTAAATTATTATTTTTAATTTAATAAGAGTAAAATAGAGTACTAATTATGTCAACTTTGATTGAGATGAGGTTCGAACCTAAGACCTTTCTTATTGAATTCAATGAGTAAGTTAACGGTAAACTAACAGAAATTAACGGAAAATATAATATTTAACGGAAAAGTTAACGGAAAATCATATTCATTAAGGATAAATTAGGAAATCTTAAGGAAAAATTAAAATCTGATCAATCTGAGCCATTCATTTGATTAAAAAATTTGACCGCCATTTTTTCTACCCATTATAGGCCTAACTCTCTTGGCCTATAAGAAAAAAAGTGGATGAGAATAATACTCTAATAAATTTTGTATCCTTACGATTGTTCAAATACTCATCTTCCTCCCTATGCGTCTCTTGCAGGATGTGTTTCATCCTCTTGCTAATAGTCAAGATTGAACTGGGTGTGCTACATAAAACAACGGTTAGAGTAATTTTTTCCTCTATACTATAGGAAACCATAAATTCATATGCTTTTGTACTCTGTGTAATACAGTAATGTTTGTACAGAGTGTGCTACATAATAGATGAATTTTCTAGCACATCGTGGAATTTCTGGTACACAAAAGGGTAGTGAAGATGATGATTATGCAATTCTTTGGAGTTTTCAGGACACAAAAGGTAATCTCAATTCTTATATTTGTATAAATAAACCAACAGTGTGATTTTCATATTTTTAGAATTCTATTCTTTTTTCAAAAAGTTTAGAATTTTGTTTTTTTGTTTTGTTTTGTTTTTTTTTTTTCAAAAGAAAGAGGATTGAGAGCTTTACCATGTGCAGGTGTTCTCTATTGGATGCTTGGCAGTTCATAGGTTCGAACACACCTGAGTTTGATGGCACTGGTGAAAGCTCGTTGGCCATGAGGAACATGCTTTTGAAATGTGATTAGAACATGTGAAAGCTGACAGTTTTACAGTAGCTTTCGCAAGATTATTTTTGAAGCCTGATTAGACCACTATTTATAGTACATTTTATAATCTGTATCTGTATATTATAAATAAATGTTAGTTATTGATTCCAATTCCATTGGAGATTGAAGAGGCATCAGGCGGAATTAAATGGTGACTGTGGGTATTCTCCACTAAATGTACAAAGTTTTTTTTTTTTTTTTTAAATTGATTTAAGATATAATAAATAAATGTTGTGGTTGTGCGGATTCCCAAATCAGTTATAATAATCATTTTTTGGCGGGAATTATAGATTCTGCTTTATTATAATAGAAGATTGAAGATATAACTTGAGAAGCCGCACTTTTTTAATTTGACATTTTGGCATTCACAAGATGCAACGGTAAGAGATGGAGAAGTGGTGAGTCACGACTGTTTGTAAATGTTCATCACTTATTGATCTTTTTCTTTAAATTTTCATATGAATTTTAACATTTTATGATATATGAGTATATTTTTGGTAGGGTAGCGGCCCACCTAACTCACGGGTCAAGACAAAATAGGATTGTTTAATATTCTCTTACCTTGCTTAGATAACAATTTAGCCCACCTCGTTTACTAAATAGTAGGATAGGGACACGGAAAATACAATTTAGCCCACCTCGTTTACTAAATGGTAGGATAGGGACACGGAAAATACAATTTAGCCCACCTCTTACATCGTTTACTAAATGGTGCGCTGTTGGAAGTAGACGGAAGGCTGGATGGCGGCTTGTCGCTGCTTCATTTACTTCGGGCGGCGTGAAATCAATGGAACAGCGAGGCGAAGGTTGCTTCTTCCCTGCCTCTTCGCTGGTTTTCCGGCGATTCTTTGGAAGAATATGGAGATGACTGGTACGCTATATTTCTAACATTCTGCTCTTACAAACACAATACCAATTCAGACCTGTTATATATATCCTATCTACTTGAATGTAAGGACTATACAAATAATATTCTAAAAAATTCAAAAGACACCTTGAAAATCACGATCTACTTTAATACAAAGACTACACAACTAATATTATGAAAAACTCAAAAGACACTTCGAAAATACTGGTCATTACTCTTATTTAGAAGATCCTTTCCTTGAGCTGTACACAATAAATGCATTCAAGACTTGATAGTCTTGTTTGTATCATAAGTCTACAAATTCATCAAAACTACGTACGGAGTAACTTTTATTGGGCGGGAAACTGAAAATTATTTTTATTTATCAAAAATTGTGGCTTTATTATATATATTATATACTCCATATAATATATATTTACCAAAAGTTGTGACTTTGTTATTATATAGATTATATATAAGTAATTATTAAGAAATATTTAACCTTAAAAAAAAAAAGAAAGAAATATTTAAAAGTAAAGGAATTGGATTTGATTTGACCAAACGGTCCACTGCCTTTATTGACTAATAGGCTCTATTTTCCTCTTTTTCATTCATTTCTCCTTCCCTAAGAACTACTTTTTCACTATATAAGTAATGCCTCCTCAAATCCCGTTCTTTTTTTCCCCTTCTTCTCCTTTTTCATATCCCCCATTTTCCTCTCCTGTTTACCCGGAGATCTCGCCGGACTCCGACAGCCATTGCCGCCGGAAAATCTACACATTCTCTCACTACCTCCCAACAAGGCAAGACTCTCTCTGTTTCTTTCAAAAGCTATTTTAGATCTGGTTTGCCTTCTTTCTCAGTATTTTTCTTCCAATTACCTTTGTTTTTTGCCATATACGATCCATTTCCCTTGGATCTTGAAGTATTTTTGTTCTGGTTTTATAATGTTGTTTGTTTTGAAGCAGTACTAGCTTCCCAGCTTCAAAGATTTCATCTTTTTTTAATTATTTGGAAACCATTTTTTATTATTTCCCGAATCTAAGTATTCAGAATTGGACTTCCTTAAATTATTGATTTAGTAAATGTTACTATTATATTTGATTTTGATGAGTTTCAAATCATTCGAATAGTATAATGAAAAGTTTACTGTAGATAAGATTATTAATTTATTATAATTGTGGGGTTCATACTAATTACTATTTCTTTGATAGTGTTATACGTCTGAATGTGTGGATACAACCATAAAGATTGAAACTTTGAGTATTGGCTGATGTCATTTGATTTTGTCTTTGTCTTCCCCATTTTAACTTTGGGCCAAAATGCATTACCAATTTGTGTATCTCGCAATTACTATTATGTGCACAGTATATATTACCATATATGGTTAAGCCTCCTTTTAACAGTATAGTGTATACGTTGACAAATATTAGTTCTCAGAAAAGAGAAGCATATTTGTATTTTCAGATATTACTTCAACTTGGAATTTGTATTTCTGTACAGCAAATATGTAAAGAGGATTGCTTTTTTTTTTTTTCTTTTTTTTTTTTTTTAATGATATCACAGAGCAGATTTGAGTTGAAGGGTAAAGATGAGTGTAGATGGTCATGGTGTTAAAGATTTTGGACTGAAGAATCTAAGCACCCAGTGCTCCATCTCTGAGGCTGATGACTATGATCTCTCAAAGCTTCTTGATAAGCCTAGGCTGAATATAGAGAGGAAGAGATCCTTTGATGAAAGGTCACTGAGTGAGTTGTCCATTGGCCTTGCTAGAGGTTTGGATAGTTATGAACCTGCTTACTCGCCTGGACGCTCAGTGTTGGACACACCGAATTCATGGAGCCGTAACTCTTTTGAGCCCCATCCGATAGTCGCTGAGGCCTGGGATGCTCTCCGCAGATCAATTGTTCTTTACAGAGGCCAACCTGTTGGGACAATTGCTGCGGTTGACCATGCCTCGGAAGAGGTCCTAAATTATGATCAGGTTTGTCCATGTATATGTTTTTGACTTTTGGTGATTTGATGTTGTAATCTGCTGATCTACATGGTATTCCTATTTCTGTAACATAATATAATCGGGTCATACTTTTTGTAAAGGTACTGAAAACCTATTTGTATTTGTGTCATATTGATTGGAAACTGAGTATAATTGAATGAGGTAGAGTGGCTTCGAAATTAAAACTTGTGTTCAGATTTAAGAGGCTGCTAAAATCTAGGCAATTGTGTTACTGAAATTGTGGTTTAGATGGCCTTTGTTCCATACTCCCATAATCTATTTCTTTGCTAAAAGCCTAAAATCATAACTTTTGTAGGTTTTTGTTCGAGACTTTGTACCTAGTGCTCTGGCCTTTCTAATGAATGGCGAGCCAGAGATAGTAAAAAATTTCCTGTTGAAGACACTTCAACTTCAAGGTTCTGAAAAAAGAATAGATAGATTCAAGCTGGGGGAAGGGGTTATGCCAGCTAGTTTTAAAGTCCGTCATGATCCAGTTCGTAAGACGGATACAGTAATAGCAGATTTTGGTGAGAGTGCAATTGGAAGAGTAGCTCCAGTTGACTCTGGATTTTGGTGGATTATTCTTCTTCGTGCGTATACAAAATCTACTGGTGACATGAGTCTTGCTGAAACACCAGAGTGCCAAAAGGGGATGAGGCTGATATTGACTCTGTGTTTGTCAGAAGGATTTGATACATTTCCTACTTTGCTGTGTGCTGATGGATGCTCGATGGTTGATAGAAGAATGGTACGTTAATATTATCTTCTTGCATCATTCAGTGTTTGTTATTGCTGTATTTAATTTGTCGATATTTATTTTATTGGAGTTCGATTCCTGGTATCTGGGGAGTTGGATTTCCCATGCAGTTCTTGCTCAATCCTTCTAGCTGAAAATGAATGCTATTGATATCTGTCTTGACCATCAAAGTAAATGTCATATGTGGTAGACTTGTTATAAATCTGTATAAATAACCTTTATTTGTAGATGATCTATAAACAAAAACTTCTGCATTTTAGCATCTCTTTCATTCTACAGAATTGACATTATCTATGATGGAGTAAAGAGGCAGGGAACTGAGTTGGTGGTAAGTAAAGCTGGGAAATTGATGTGAGATAGGAAAATCAGGAGATTGATTGATTCTAAAATATCTTTGATTGATTGTTATTTGAATTTGATTTACTTCCTTTACAAATGTCTAAGGGCATCACCAATGTGGGGAGACAGGGTTAGCGGGGAGTGGAGATTTATTCTCCAAAGAGATTGTTCTCTCCGGAGAATAAATGTACTACACCATCAGTTTTTTTTTTTTTTTTTTTAAAATTAATGCCTCAATGGCTTTGCCGTCGAGGCAAAATTTATTTATTTTAAATTTTAACTTTTTTTTTTAATCTATATATATATACCCTAACTCTTAAATTTTATCTACACTTCAATTTCTTTTCGAATTTTAATGTGGTTTTAATTGTTTGAATTAATTTATGAAATTATATTTTGTAATTCAAAAATTATTTTATTTCTTTATTTAAATTTATTTAGATTTAAAATTGAAATTTGAAATTATAATTATAAGTTTGAAATTAAAATTATAGTAAAGTGAATTAAGTAATAGATGATGTGCTTTCAAAAAAAAAAAGTAATAGATGATGGAGAGGAGTAGGGTCCACAAAATGAGGAGAAAAAGGATTAGAGAGAAAATAAGGGAGGAGATTAGATGGTGATGGGGAAGAGTTATACCACAAAATGAGGAGAATAGGGGAGAAGTGTCGTGGATGCCCTAATAATATTTGTAAGGTGCCTTGATTTTCTCCTTTACTTTTTATGTTTTAGAGAACTTGTGTAATCCTCCTATTTAAAGAGGATTTCTATACTAATAAATTATAGTAGAATTAAGTAAGAATCAAGGAAAGGACAACTCCCAAAAGTTGCAAGTTGTTTTCCCTGTTCTTCCTTCACCCTTTTTCAATCGCACAAAATAGGCAAACCACCTTTTGCTTCCATTCCTTCCAATGATCTCTATCAATCATTGACGTGAGCTTTGCCCGTGAACATAACATTTGTGTTCTGTTGTTGGGCATATACAAGGGCAATATCGAAATCTTGCAAGTAGAAGTTTGGGCTCTTCAAGCTTCTATACAATCTATACAAACATCCTTCCAAAAAATGGAGATCATAACAAACTTGGTCCAAACTCTTTCCAACACAGTTGACAACCTTGGCAAAATGATGGAATCACTATTAGCCAAACAAGGCAGATACTCGTCGCCTTCGGAGAAATCTACCATCATTTTACCACAATACCACTTACTCCACTAGCCGCACCGATCCTCACATCCACACCAACAAGATAATACACCACAAACCCACTACACTAAGTTGGAATTCTCAAATTTTCCGGATAAAGAGGACACATTGGTTTGGCTACATCGTTTAACTCTGTTTCGCTAACACATATATGCTGGAGGAAGAGAAAGTAGGTACAATTGTCTACGACATGACTTAGACAACCTAGCTTTGGTACATAAAACAGGATCAAGATGGCTAATGCTTTATTTGACAAACCTTCAAAGATTGTGTACACTTTTTTTTTGGGCTATCTTGAAGCTTTAACCCTCATGTCGAATTAAGTAGGTACCAGGGTTATCTAGGCGTCGCCTAGGCGTTTGGGCGGTCACAGCCTTGCGCCTAGACCGCTCGCCTCGCCTAAGTGCAAAATACAACCCAAAACCCCACAAAACATACATGGGCAGAACCTACACACTAAGGCGAGTTGACTGGTGTAATTTTCAGCTGGAGAAGACGCCGGAATCTGCCTCACGCGCCGGCGCGTGGCGTCGGAGCAGCGGCACGGCGGCGGCGCGTGGAGGCGCATGGAGGCTCCGATGGCGGCGCGGTTCGAGCTCCGGCGTCGTCCTCCTGTTCTGAGGAAAGCCCACTACCTCACCCTGACATGGTATCAATAAATACTAACTTCTCACTACTCTAGGAAAAACTATTCATCTTCTCAAAGATGACTGAAGTAAATAGGGTTCAAAAAGGCTTCCCAAGACAAGATATTTCCAATATATACAATAAATACTAAACTTCTCATTATTCTAGGAAAAACTATTCATCTACTAAAGGCAACTTGAAGTAAATAGGCTGCCCAAGACAAGATATTTTCAAAATATATATGTATATATTTTATATATTTTATTTATTTAATACTCATCGCCTAGGTGGTCGCCTAGTCGACTAGTCGACTAGGCAGTTGGTGGCATCTCGCCTAGAAAGTCAGCCTTGATAACCTTGGTAGGTACAATTGTCTACGACATGACTAAGACAACCTAGCTTTGGTACATAAAACAGGATCAAGATGGCTAATGCTTTATTTGACAAACCTTCAAAAATTGTGTACACTTTTTTTTCGGGCTATCTTGAAGCTTTAACCCTCATGTCGAATTGGCAAAACTGAAACAAAGCAACTTGCAGTCTTGCACTTTGAGGAATACATTGACAATTTCCAAATGATGTTGGCGAGGACAGACTATGTCTGATATAACAAACGGATTGATTTGTTTACAATAGGCTTAGCTAAAATTCTCTAGATCAATGTTGAAAGATGCAAACTCACATGCTTATTAGATGAAGCAAGAGCTTGTGACTACACTCGCAGAACATAGTTGTTGGGCAATTTGGCAACACGACACCACTCTCCAATGGACTAGTATTCGTCTAGCAATATTATCATGGTAAAGCAACAACCCTTTCAAGCGCACACGCATTAAGCATTTCTCACCTGGCGAAATGTTGGAATGGAAAAATGTGCAAATGTTATAATCGTGATGATCCATGAGTGAATGGTCGTTGTTGCAAATAATTATGCATGCTAGGTTTTGATGAAGAAATGGATGGGGTGCAAATTGAACCTACAGTGCCGAAGTAAACCATTCCCAAATGTCCTAATTTCAAAATTTCAAGCTTGAGGACAAGCTTGATATCTGGGAGGCGAGTGATGAGGTGAGACAAGAAGTCACTCAAGTTAGTGTAAGAAAATTAGGAGATTGATTGATCCAAAACAATTAACAATCTTTGATTGATTGCTATTTGAATTTGATTTATTTCCTTTACACATGTCTAATCAGTTTGGTAAGGAGCCTTGATGATTCTCCATTCCTTTTTACGTTTTACTAAATCTATGTAATCCTCCTATATAAAGAGGATTTCTATGCTAATAAATGTATAGCAAAAATTAAGAATCAAGGAAAAGGATAATTTCCAACATTCTAAGTTATTTTTCCTGTTCAACCTCCTCCCTCTTCCTCTTTTTCAATTGCACAAAACAGGCAAACCACTCTCACTTCCAATGATCTACATCACCCGTTGATGCGTGCTTTTGCCTATGAACATAGCACAAACTGAATTGCAAAATAACATAAACAAATCAAGGAATACCTAAAACGGTTTCCTCCTCCTACAAGTTTTGCAACTTGCCTCCTCAATAGTTAGTGGATTATTTCACTAATTTCTTGAAGCCCCATTTATAAACTATTACCAAGTACTAAGTAAATCATCAATCAAAGATTATTTAATCATCCCATCTCCGAATTAATGCTCATTCTAGATGCAAATCATGCAACTTGATTATTTCCGTCCATTCCCATTTTCTTTCCTTATGTAGTTTTGGCCTTTATGGGAGTAAATACTATCTTGGGTTCTCATCCATGTGGTATTTGCCTTCTCAAAGTATATCATTGTCATTCGCTAGCAAACTAGCATTATCACAAGGCTAGAGGTGGGAGGCATGTGTAGGTCACCGGGTTCAATTCTTGATGTGTGGATGTCGGGCAAATCATCCTCATGATATGATCCATGTGGTCTTTGCCTTCTCAGAGTATATCATTGTCATTCGCTAGCAAACTAGCATTGTCACAAGGCTAGAAGTGGGAGGCATGTGTAGGTCACCTAGTTCAATTCCTGATGTGTGGATGTCGGGCAAATCATCCTCATGATATGATCATGGGTTAGGCCAAGCGTTACGGGCCTATGCGGCATTGAGGAAGTAGATGGCAAAGCTTTGTCTCTCTACCTATGGTGGCGACAGAGAAGGTTATTAGGGAATAAGAACTGAGAGTTGGCGGAAGAAACTTCCTTGAATAATTTTATTCAATTCCAACTTGTCTTCCAACTACATATTGTTGTCCTATTTAAAGGGACTTCCTTTGTAATTTGCTAAGGAAAGAAAGACATTCGCCAAATATAAAGAAATTCTCAATAATGCCAATTGCAATAAAATAGTAAACTAAATAAATGAGATTGCTTAAATTGAGAGCATGGCATGCATCCCCTCCTTGTTGTCCACCATGATCAAAAGTCCTCAAGGATTTATTGGGCAGTCATGAACGGGGTTGTATGGTTTGCACAAAAACTAGAGACCTTTTGTGCCCATCTCAAGGTATTCGTGATGAGAATATTGCTAGGCACCTTTGTTGGAACTCGCCATCCCAGAGTTGCGTCGAAGAAGAGCGGAAAACCATGTTTTGCCTGATAGGTTATAGGTGCATACATTTTCCCCCATTGTTTGTCAATTTGAAGTGTTTTGGCGCAAATTTATGTTGGCAATCCGCAGTGGAGTAGGAGTAGGTTGAGATGGGTCTAGTATTTTAAGTGGCTGGCCCAGGAAGCCAGCTGAGCTCATTCCTGGTTGACCACCTTTTAGTCATGTTGTCTACCATTTGCTTTTCTAGATGGCAACTATGATGAACAAACTCCAATTCTCATTCCACAAAGTGGGCCACTTGGATTGCAATCCTAAGGTACAACACATCGTTTGGTTGAAGGCACACACATATTTCCTCTTTGAGCCCATTGAGAAATAAGCCCAGTTGGACATTGGGGTGAGGTCTCGAATTTATGGAGCTCTTCCCGAAAAGCCCATTCCCAGTTGACCACGTTTTAGTTGTGTTGCCTACCATCTACTTTCCTAGATGGCAACTATGATGAACAAACTCCGATTCTTGTTCCACAAAGTGGGCCATTTTCACGGCACAATCCTAAGGGACAACACATTGTTTGGTCGAAGGCACACGTGGATTTCCTCTTTGAGCCCATTGAGAAATAAGCCCAACTGGACATTGGGGCGAGGTCTAGAATCTATGCAGTTCTTCCCCAAATGTAATTAACATATTCAACCACAATACCCACTTGTTGAAGAATCACAAGTAGTTCAATCAAGGATGCAGAGACACTGCTACTAAATTGATCCAAGAGTTTTGCCTTGAATTGGCCCCAAGTTAGGTGTGACATCTGTTGCCGCAACCAATGGAGCTAGTGTACTGTTGTGCCTTCCATGCTGACAAAGGCCATGGCTACCTTCAAGTCCTCTCGTGTGCAAGCCATCTGATTAGGTTCATCCTACCAAAATTGGGGATTCCAAAAAAAATTGGTTGTCACCTTGATAGCATCCCCAATTGGCATAGGAGAAGAGGGTTTGGTCAGACTAGATTTTTCTAAATGTGAGTCAATAGCGGCAGCCATGCCACTTTCCCTTTCTCGTGGAACAAAAGGGTGACTAGTTTGATTAGTTTGGATATGGCCTCTCCATGCTAGTAAATTGTTGTTCATGTGTATGCAGAGTTCCTCCTAACTATTCTCCAAGGCTTCCCGATCGTGACTCCATACATGTCATTCCTAGAGTCAGGTCGGACCAAATAGATGGAGTAAAGAGTGAGGAACCTAGTTGGTAAGTATATCTGGGAAATTGATTTGCAAAATAACAGAAGCAAATCAAGGAATACCCAAAATGGTTTCCTCCAGCAAGTTCTGCAACTTGCCCCTCAGAAACTAGCTGATTATTTCACTAATATCTCAATGATCCACATTTATAAACTATTACCAAGTACTAAATAAGTAAATTATCAATCAAAGGTTACAAACAAATTTAATTATTCCATCCTTGAATTGCTCATTCCAGATGCAATTCATACAGCTTGATTATTCCTTCCATTCCCATTTTCTGTCCTGCTGTAGTGTTGGTCTTTCTCCAGGAGAATACTATCTTGTGCTCCTGTCCATGTGCCCCTTGGTGTGTATCAATCTATGTGACTAATGAATTCAGAGTTCGTGCTTTGGTAGGAAATCCTGGATGTTCTGATGATTTAATAAACTCTTCAAGTAATTACAATAAATAATAAAAATCTCTACTTATGTGTGAGTACCGTCATTATGTTATATTGAGATGATTTAAGGCTGATTTTATAAAGGAAAAATTGTAATTTATTCCCCTTCATAATATGCTAATTATCAATGTCACTCTTGGAGTATTAGTGGTGTAAATGTTGCCCCTCAATTTTCAAAACGGTACATATATTGTCCCTCCCGTACCGTACCAGAAGAAAATTGAGGGGCAACATTTATACACTACGGGAGGGCAATATATATACCATTTTGAAAATTGAGGGGCAACATTTACACCACTAATAATTCATGAGTGACATTGATAATTGGCATATTATGGAGGGGCATAAATTACAATTTTCCCTTTTATAAATGAATGTGCATTTTGTGCTTTAATGGAAATATAGAATCATCTGAAAATTTTTGAGGTTATAATTGGATTTAATATCTGTCCGTTGATTCCCTTGGATGATAACATATGCATTGCTGCCTCAATAAAATTTCCAAGTTGAGGTTGTGGGGAAAGAAGTCTCAGTATATGCTGTTATTGGCTATGTTTTCTAATAGTTGGAAAAAATTGTCCACTGAACTCCGCACTTGAAGAGTCTAGTATTATGGGGTCTGTAAATCCATATTAACGGATCAGTACTGGGATTCTGTTACACATCCCGAAGCTAATCTGTTACTCATGTTTACTTGTTAAATCTTTGGAGTTAACTGATGAGAGGAAATTCTGGAGTGCTATAGCATTGCTTAGTTTACCAACGAGTTTCAATGGAAGCAATGCGTGATTAAGAACTGTTTTTGTTTAAATTCCACTAGCCTTTCTCTATACTGATCAGTTTTACGTAGTAATACTAAAGGATTATTAATTGGAGACCTTTTGGCTTTTGCAGAATTAGCTAATGACTAGTAGTACAATGTTGGTTTAGTTCCTGACAAAAACAAACGATATTCTTTTGCTCTTCTATTTGGATAGCATATGGTTTATGTTTCCCAGTCCTGAAGGGGGGCAAAAATATTTTTTATTTGCATAGTAAATTATTACTTTTTGTTGGGAACTTAAAGTTCTCTAAATCTTTTTTGGTTTTTTTGGTAAGTAAGAAGATTAGAGTTACATATTTCTTGTTTTTTATCTCTTTTTCATGGTCAAGTTTTGGAGTCTAAAGGTGGTTCCTTTTGTTGTTATTTCAGGGAATCTATGGTTATCCTATCGAAATTCAAGCACTATTCTTCATGGCGTTGAGGTCTGCATTGGGAATGTTAAAGCAAGACGATGCTGAAGGGAAGGAATGTATTGAGAGAATCGTAAAACGTCTTCATGCCTTGAGTTACCACATGAGAAGTTACTTCTGGCTTGACTTCCAACAGCTAAATGACATTTATCGTTATAAAACCGAAGAATATTCTCATACTGCAGTAAATAAGTTTAACGTCATTCCTGATTCGATCCCGGACTGGGTCTTTGATTTTATGCCTACGCGTGGTGGTTACTTCGTAGGCAATGTTAGTCCCGCAATGATGGATTTTAGATGGTTTGCTTTGGGTAATTGCGTTGCCATCTTATCTTCTCTTGCCACTCCGGAGCAAGCTTCTGCTGTTATGGATCTTATCGAGGCACGTTGGGAGGAGCTGGTTGGAGACATGCCTATGAAAATAACTTTTCCCGCGCTGGAGAATCATGAATGGAGAATCGTTACTGGCTGTGATCCGAAAAATACCAGATGGAGTTATCACAATGGAGGGTCTTGGCCAGGTTCTTCCATATTTCTTTACGTGTCGTTTTTAATAAAATTTTTACTTGATGCCCCCTTGCTATCTGACAATCTTGGCAGCTCGCAAGCATTTCCAAAGACGTTAAAACTTAAAACCATGGTTGAAAAAACCGCTAGGCGCTCCTCGGACGCTCGGGGGCGCCTAGTGCCTAGGCGGCGATTAATCGGCACCTGTGTATTTTTTATTTTTATTTTTTTAAGACTTCATAATTATAAACTATTTAATACTTTAATAGTTAATACTAAAATATTAAATATTAACCTAAAAAACATCTAGAGTTTGAAAATTTTAGGGCTATTTTGCTGAAAACGGTGTCCTTTTGAGTGAAATAATTTTAAAAAGAAGGGAACAATAGCTAATCGGCCGACTAAGCGACCTAGTCGGTGCTTAGGCAGCACTTAGGCGGCCTAGTTGGCCAGCCGCCTAGACCACCGATTAGGGTGATACGTTAGGCGCCGATTAATCGGTGCCTAGGCGGGATTTTTGCAGCACTGCTTTAAACCCGTTTAACGTTGTGAACTAGATACTCGAAACTTTATTTCTCTAACGCTATATGCTCTTCTTGGTCTCAAACGCTGCTGCAGTGCTCTTGTGGTTGCTTGTGGCGGCATGCATCAAGACAGGGCGGCCGCAGACTGCAAGGCGAGCTATCGATCTTGCTGAAAGCCGGCTGCTCAAGGATAGCTGGCCGGAATACTATGATGGGAAATTCGGAAGGTTTATCGGGAAGCAGGCCCGGAAGTACCAGACATGGTCGATTGCTGGATATCTGGTTGCGAAAATGCTGCTGGAGGATCCTTCGCACCTCGGGATGATCTCGCTGGAAGAGGACAAGCAAATGCAGCCCGTGCTGAAGCGATCGTCTTCGTGGACTTGCTGATAGTAACACCTAGTGATGAGGAAATACTAATGCTGATTGATTACGTATCTCTCTGGTCTGGTTTAAATGCAAAGACATTTTGCTTATAATTTCTGTTTGTTTAAGAGCTTTGTTATGTAGATTTATGGTGTGTCTAATTTTATGGAATTTTGCATTTTAAAGGAAGCTAGAAATAAAAGATGAGTAAGTAGATCATATCTGCTGCACTTGCTGCCTTTATGGGGAAAAATGTTTCTCCTAAAATAACTTTTGCTCTCTTAAACTGTTTTAGTTCTTCCCCTTTGGGACTAAAATCTAACCTATCCATAGTATCTGCTCAACGTTCTTTCAAACTTTTTAAGAAAATGGTAGGTATTGTGTGATTTGCCCTTGTTGATTGTGTTCACTTTTCGTCAGTAGAATTGCTTACTTAGTTCGATTATTTAGAGTCCCCATACTTTTAAATAAAAGCCAAGTTAATTTGTTCAATCAGCTTAAATTTCCCTTACTCCGTCCCCGAATTAATTAAAGGATTAAATTCGTGCCTTCTATCAATCTACGAATCCCAAAAACCAAATGATACAACTAGGAAGCCTGATCACCCCGGGACAAACGAATAATAGGAAGTCCTCAAAGGCATAATCGAACCATCGAACCATAGACCTCCAAATTCTAAGACCAAGACCTTAACCATTAGACCACAAGTGTTTCCTAAAATCTCAAGGGGACACAACCTTGTTAACCCCCTCCAAATCCCTAAAACCCAAAATCCCCAAATCAAAAACCCTTCTTCCTCCTTCTTTCTCTCTCATTCTTTCTCTCTCCCTCTCACCCACTCCCGCCGCAAACCCTCCCCCAAGAACTCGTCGAACCCCCCGGTCACGCCCCACACACCGCCCGACCGCCATCCGCTCGTCGCCACCACATCGCCCTCCACAACTGACGCTGTCGACCTCCCGTCTGTCAACCACCCATCGCCCGTCCGTCGTCCGTCCACCGCCCGCCGGACGACCACAGCCGACACGACACCGCCACAGCTGCTGCACCACCGCCGCGACCACCCACCCACCACCATTCTGCCCGTCACCAGCCCGTCGAACCCCCACTGCCAGCCGACACGCCAAACAATGCCCGCAACTACTGAAGCCGCAAACGCCCACTGCCGCCGCCGTCACTGCCGTGCACTCGCCAGAGCTCCCACCGGAGAAAGTAGACCCCACACCTGTAGCCACCTCCTAAAATCTTACGATGTCGAAAAAGTCCTCCAATGCCCGAGCCCCGGAATGGAACAACGCTGACTACACAGTGATTGGAGGTAAAGCACTCGAACTCGACCAATTCTCTCCGGAGTTGGTTGACATGCTTAATTTCCAAGGATTACTAGATACGTACCTCGGGCTAAAAGGGGACACGTAACCCAAATTGGTCAAGGAATTCTATTGCTATTTGGTAGCTACCAAACGAGGGGACAAGTTGGAGATCACCTCCAAAGTCCGGGGCAAGGAGATAGTGCGCACCGAGGGCTGCCTGACTAAACTCCTGAAACTGACCGCCACGGGTGTGTTAGACTATGACTGAAAGGCATGGGTCAGTACCCGAGACACGGGGTATAAGGATTGCCTCGGATATTTGTTAGGAAGAGAAGACAGTTTTACCTCGGCCACAAGGCCAATCGAGAAGCTGCTAACCGCCGAGCAGAAACTGCCAGTTATGATTGTGTCCAATAGCTTGTTGCCCACTAACAACAAGAGCAAGGACGTGGGGAGTTTGGAATGCACATTTGCCTACTTCCTTAAGCATAAGGTCAAGTTCAATCTACCCGCCCTTATGTTGAAGCACATAGAATTCTGTAAATCTAGTAACCGGCCCAGTCTACCCTACGGGATGATCCTAAGCTGGATCAGGGAAACGAAGGGAGTGGACATAAGCCGGACTGAGGCCAGACCCATGAGTGGAATGGTTTTCAATGCCCAAAACCTCCGCCGCAATGACATCTACCTCGAGGAGGTTTGCCTGAAATCCCCAGAAGAACGACGAATGCTGGTGGATCAGTTGGAGATCTCAAACAAGAAAATGAAACGGGCAATGCATGAAAGCGAAGAGCAGGAGGAAGAAAGCGAGCCTAGCCAGCCTGAACCCACACAGGGAAGGGGAAACCTAGGGGACCAAGACGAGAGGTCCACCAATGAGCGCATCCTCGCGCAGCTCACGAGGCAGAATCAGATCATGGATGAAGGATTCTCGTCCTTAATTATCGCGACGAGCTCATTGGATAGGAGGGTGGCTGTAGTCGAGACCATGCTAGGCGCACGTGGAGCTTCAAGCTCAGGAGCGGGAAACCAAGGTATACTTGAAATCTCAAACCTCACTTACCACCGACCTAATCAACCCCCACCCTACACTCGTTAAATGACAAACTTGAGCCACATTTCCTTAATTAGGAGACCAAATAGCATGACCCCTAGGGGCAAAGGGAGTAATCTGTGCCCAAGCTCCGAGGACGAAACTCCTTGTAAGGGGGGAGGGTGTAACACCCCGTGTTACGGCCTCCGTATCCGAAATAATTATTTAATTAATTCCGCTACCATATAGTTAAAAAAGATTTAATCAGACTAGAATCCCCATTAATTAAATAGTGTGGTCCACGGTGGACCATGGACCCTTATCTTTAACCAAGTCCTTAATTCTATAAGGAATAGGAAAAGTGGACCCTTACCATTCAGGCCCTAGTTAGGAATCCTAAATCTATATATAGGGACTTAGGAATCATTTAGAAACCCTAACACAGTTAATCCTACCACACAAGATATACCCGAGGGGAAACCTACAAAGGAATTCCCCTGCCACCAAACGTAGAGGAATCCACTGGAAGGAAATCTTAGAAAAGAACCTTAGTAGCCAAGGATATTGATTAGGGCTAAGAGGTAATCCATGTCTCGACAAAACCTATTTTCCTTGCTATATCTTATTCATTGGTTCATTTGATAATCGTATGTGTAATTCTGTGATTGAGTCTTGATAGAGCCTTGCTTAGGATTTATATTGTGTTTATTTGATGATCTTGACGTTCTTAATATTGTGATTGATTATATGTATGATCTTGTATTTTAATTATGTCTAGAGCCCTAGGGTTTATAACGTGAATTTCGTATTATGATGTTATTGGTATATTTGGGTGGGATTATGCATGATCGGGTGTTGAGTCTAGCCTAGGATTTATATTTAGGACTTTGCATATAGATTTCTTGATGTTCTTGTGGTTCCGGATGTCCCTGAACCGTTATATGATTAATGTGGAGTCTTGGCATGTTTAGGAATCGTGTTAGAACGTATTTGGTATAATTCTTGGTTTAATCCCGTTAATTGAATACGTGGTGTTGTCATTATGTGTTTGAATGTGTCTGGATATGGTTTCGGGTTCCACGAGAAATCCCGGGACCGAAAGTTGCCTGTGAGCCAGTGGGGGCTAGGTGGGGGCAGGGGTGCCCGCCACCTACCCGTTGCCCCGTTGCCCCTTTCCAGCGGGCAGCCGGCGAGCAGGCGACTGCCCACCGGGCACCCGTTGGACTGTAGAACGCCACCGACGGGTGGCCGGCGGGTGGTCTTCCACCCGCCGCCAACCCGCTGGAAAGTTGGTGTGGTCCGTGATGTTTTACCCCGTTTGTTGTTTCCCCGTGTCCCATTGTACCCCGTTTGTCGTGTATGAGTCTCGTTTGGTATTTTCGGTATCATTCTAGGAATTTATGTGTAATACGTGTCGTTGTTTTTGTGTCTTGATTGTTATTTGATTATGTGTTGGTTGATTGAATGATGATGAGTATCGTGGTCATTGCGCAATGGCCGGTGTGAATGATGATGATGATGAGATTGTGATTGGTGGAAATGAATTGTTGGCGGTTGGCACTACTTGTGCCCGGTCATTGTACTAAAGGTACAGGCCAAGCGGTTACTGTGCTAAAGGCATAAACCGACCTTCGACTAGCTTGCCGTTGAGCATGGGTCAGGTTATAAGTGCTGCGGTGTCATGTTAGAGCTATATGCGTTAACCCCTTGATATTGGCACTAGAGGTGCGGATCATGTGAATGGCACTGCGGCACCATCTTGATATGTTGGTGGTTTATAGGTGGTTTGTCGGTGGGGGCATGTAGTTGCCCGGAGGAATAAGGGGTGGTGATATAAAGGTGGCCTGGAGGTATAGGTTGGAACTGATATAAGGACGGAGGGGAGCTACAAGGTTGGAACTTGGTATAAGGTTGGATGATGAATTGTGCGCTTTGATGACTACTTGCTAATTGGTTGTCTTGAATGCCTTCGTTGCCTCTAACTGTTACTTATATGCTTATCTGCCTGTTATGCCTTGCGTTGCGTTCTTAGGATGCATCCTAGTCTTTATGATAAATCTATACTGTCGAGTCTGTTAATGCATCTTGCGTCTTGATCTTGGATTTAAACTAGAGTCTCGTAAGTATATATGTATTCCAGTTTCAAAATGAGTTTCTTATATCTACCTATATTGTACTTAACGCGTTGGAGTGGGTTACCATCATAATTCGCTGACGGTTGTTACACCCAATGTTTTTCAAGTGATGAGCATTAGCTACGGAGCGCGCTAGTCGGAACCGTGGACTTAGTTTAGTTAGTTCTAGCATAGTAGATGACCTGCGTGCCTTGGGTTGTAATTGAATATCGATTTATCGGTTCAATTTTAGAACATGAACATTCTCAAGTTCTTTAGCGCAATTAATTAATTAATTTTTATTAATTTAAAATTTAAAACGAATCAAGACGTCAACGATGCATATTTCAAATTCCTCAATCAATAATGAGTCCAAACAACAAGACAACACTACATGTTTAAAAATCCAATGTCCAAACATAACATAAAACTTAATTCAAATTACAAGATAGCAATCTAAGTGTCAAATAGAAAAAAAAAATCGAGATTTAGAGAATTGAGAATTTAGTAATTAGTAATTAGTATATAAACTTGGGTAATTTTCCAAATATAAAAACATTTAGGTATAATTAGATACATAGATATGAAGAAAGGAAATGTCATAGTTTTTTATGCTTACACTAGACTTTAAAATAATTATAGTGGTGTTATTAAAGATGATTGGCTTTGGCTTGTGGCAACAATTGAATCATGCACAAGAGGTGTTTGGTGTAGTGTAATGAAATCGGTTTGTTTCTCATGAACATAATCTTCGTGGCT